CCTGCCTGCTGACTATATATGTGTGTGTGTGTGTGTGTGTGTGTGTGTGTAGGTGTGTGTGTTTATATGCTCTATATGTATTTTTCTGTATACCTATATCTGTGCATAGAGGAAAACAAAAGGAAGCTATTAAAGACCCAGCAGGTCGCCTACCATATAGGCCGCTTTGTTGAACCGCCATGTTTCCACAGACAGCAACCCAGAATGGACAAACCAAACACTGGCTCTAGATTGGGCTTTTCACGTTTTTTGAGCATTTCGCAGCCACCGTAATTTCTCCTACATACTTTGAAAGGGAGAGTGATGTAAGAGAGTTGCAATGTGCAACTACACTGCTAGATGCTGCTAAATCCTACACACTTGTCTGTTAAATGCTAGAACGAAATAACTTTAAACCTCTAACTTTGTGCACAAATGTAGTTACGAGGAGGCAAAACAAACCCGAAAAAGCTTGGATTAGCAGTAACTGATATTTCTTAAGCTTGCTCAGTGGGAATCAAAATGTTTATGCATTGACATCATTACTAAATCACAGCTAAACAGCTGTTAGTGCAAAACAAAAGTGGGACACTTACACTAGAAGTGTCATTTACAAATCACTTTCACTCATTTAAATTGTTTTGTTCAATTTATCTCACCTGACTTTTTGCTAAGTTAAGTGATCTTCTTTTGAAATACAGCAGTAAGTGAATGCATCACTGTTCATAGCACCACAACCCTGTTTCTTACATTGACCCTGTTACCTTCAGCTCAGTACAAAACCAGGTCTATACACTTCCAGGCAAGTATACAAGCATTGATAGTTAATAGCTCTGCAGCGTCCTATTTGTAATAGTTATCATGTTGTGATTGTTTAATATAATATACTTCCACAATGGCTGCAGCTTACTTTGTGCACAAACTGAGCAGATACAATTTCTCACTTTTCTGTATGAAATGAATCTGTTCCTCTTTTTCCTATGTGTTACTGCTGACCTGTGTGTGTGTGTGTTTGTGTGTACACTAATGACAGCAATCAGAATTTCCTTTAGGTGATGAGGTGAGAGTTTTGCACTGACCCTTTTAATACCTCTGCATCTGTGTGTGTACGTGTAAGTGTAGGCGTGTGTTTGTGCTCACTGACCTCTTAAACACCCCTGTGCTCGTCAACACACAACACAACCACTGGACTGTGACCTGCCAAATAAGAGCTTACCCAGTACACTACACACAGATCTCTCTCTCTCTCTCTCTCTCTCTCTCTCTCTTTACACTTCAGACACATTTTTAAGCCCCCCTTTTCTCTCCCACACACACATACACACCTCACACCTGTAGTTTTTTTCACCCATATCACACATGCAACCCCCGCACCCCCCTCCTCCCTCTCTTGGCCGCTCTCTGTCTTATTATAATGGTGTCTAATGTGTCCATGTATCCATGTAGATGGGGGCCAGGCAGCAGCAGCAGCAGAGAAGAAGGGGTCTGCTGTGGTAATTGGCCATGATGAAGTTTGGCCAGTGGGGTGACAGGCCCGCTAAGGAAGATGGATCATTCTCATTCGGCCCCGTAAATGTTGTCAATTCCACCACTCATACAGCGCCATCAGCCCTCATCAAAGAAGAGGGACGCAGCTGCCGGGCCGTTGAGGGGTTGGGGTTTAGGGGTTGTTGGAGGTGGTGGTGGTGGTAGGGGGGGTGGGTTGTACAGGGCAGGATGGAGGGTTAAAAGAAAAGATTGCAGGGGGAGCTGAACCTGGGGCAGGAAGTCACAGGCCGAAAGAAGGATGAGAGGAAGAATGTAGTTATAAAGGAGCAGAGAGATGGGATAGAGATGACAGAGGGAGGTGGATGCATGTAAGACATGAGGAAAGATGTGAATTGTTAATGGAAGACAGAAGAAAATAACGTGGGAAGAAGTTCAACTGTAAGAATGAGGCCACATTCAGGCCAAGATTAGCAATGGGCGAAGAAATGCAGCCCCTGTGTTGACAGAGCACAGAGAGCTCCAGCAATGCAGTGTTGTCCAGAATAAAAGAACATGGCTCAGGGTGCCCTGAGGGTGCTCACCTGGCCTAGTCCTTGCTGCACCGGCCATGGGTTCAAATCCGACCTGT